TTTACGGTGGTCGAGCGCCGGGGGGGGGGTTCTGGAAAGGCAGCTGGCGCCCTTCCTTTCTCTCTCGGCTCGCTCCTGTGGGCAGTGCTGATTTTGGTTTCCCTCAGCCTCCATTCTCGGCCGGTTTATTCGGCAAGAAAGCAGACCAGATCGCTTTTCCAGGAAGAAAGCAATAGCAAAAATCCCAACTTTGTTCTCACCTTCCCTTCTTGCCTCGGCAAGTTTTTAAAAAAGTAAGACTTAAAACCTCCCAACGTCGATTTGCGTTTTCTTCCGCTTATTTTTAAATACTTAAAGCTCATACTGCTCCTATTTTTCCCCTTCTATCTTGCTGCTTGTGCATTTGGTTTGAGAGGAGGATAACTGGAGTGTAGGAATTATACTTTCTTGTCTGGAAGTCTCCCCCCCCCTCTTCCCACGGCTCCCCCCTCTCGCTGACACGTCTCTGGCTTTTCAATTAGTGGAACTGAATTTTTCTCCCCCTGCCTTCTCCTAGTGATGTTAATGGAAACGAGAGCTGACTATTCTGTGTGGCTCTGTCTTCATCTTCAAGAGTACTTTAGCTTTTGTTTAAGTAAAACTGGCTATATCATAAACAGGATTCCTTCAGCATCTGTAAAGTAACTGTGGTTGTGGAGTTAGAGTTCTATTCACGGTGGAAACTGCAGTTTAAATTCTTATCTTCCAAATGGCTTAAAGTGTGTACTTATTCCTCTCATTTGAAGCCATGTGGTATTTTAATGTTTAAAGAGAGAAAGACACCCTAGAGTTATTACTTCCATCCTGAGCTGAAGTGTTGAGATACTTGAAAGGCTCTCCTGGAGCATTAACTCTTTAACTTTCATCTTCTCAAGGCAGAATATTTGCTTAGCGCGTGTAATGTCATTTAGTAGGGATTATGTATTCTCTCCCGCTGATTTATTCATATTTGCAGTTGAAATGGTTGCAAAATGGTTGATTATCTCTTATGCAATCCATGCCAGTGATTGGATTCTCTTCTGTTTCATGCACTGTGTATAGCAGTAGTACTGCACTAACATGGATTACAAGAACTTTTTGGTCTTAATCAGATTTGCAGCACCTTCCAACTCTTGTTTACTGAGCACAGGAGTGGGCAAATTGGGATTCATCTTAGTTTATTAAATATTTGCATCTCACTTTTTGTAGAGCAACATTTGGTCTTCTACATTTGGTAGAATGTGGGGGTAGATGTATTATATAGATGCTAGGTATGTTGTAACTGCTGAGTTTGTTCAATGGACAATGTTGTCATAATTTCCAAAATAATAAGGTTTACATGGCTTGCTTGGTACAGATTTGTCACAAATTCTAGACTGACTTAAGGCCTTTCAGAAGTCCTTTTCTTTATTTATCTGTTTCATCATATATACACGTGTTCCCTCAATAAAGACAGTGTATCAGTATACTTTAGTGAAACATTAACAATAGAGAGACCAAGGCAGAGAAGTTCTAATACCAAAGTACTAAGCAAGCCTAACCAAGTATAGTGTATGTCACATGAAAAACAAAAAGGAAATAAATGAATGTTAAAATCAACTGGACCAGGTAGTATCTTCATTGTTTGTCTTCCTTGACCCAAAAAGTGAAACTGGGAATTTCTTTCCATATGACTATTCAAAATATATTATCTTGCATTATCTGTTCCACTCCATGTTGATAGGATCCCTCTTCCTTTGGAATCTGCCCAGGCCAAATTCTTATTCTGAAGAAATTGCTGCCTAATGTTCATTACAATGGACCAGAAAACCCAAACATTCTGATCCCCCCTTCTTGGTGAAAGATGCCATATTGGTTTTATAATGATTAATAGTTGCCATTGAACTTCAAAAGCAGCAAAAATGATAATGTAACATGACATCACTATAAGAAACATCCAGATATTAGAGCTATTATGCCATCGGTATACAGGTTATATAAAACTATACCTATCACATTCATTGCCCATGCAGTAGATGTTCTGAATGGGTTTCAGTTATACGATGATTGAGGGAAAACAAAGCAAAACCATAATGCTGACAAGACAGATGATATTTAGCTAAGAGCTAAACTAGCCAATTAGCAAACTACAGATTGTACATAATTTGGATATCAGTAAAGAATCATTGTTAATTGGGGATTAAATGTTGGGACAAATTAAACCAATTTGGAACTAATTAAACTATCTTGCCCCCAGAAACAATTTAAAATGTTGGCATTGGCCTTCAAATCCCTAAACAATTTGGGACCAAACAATTAAGAATACTCTTACAAGCCTATCTATGTTTTAACAGGGGCAACCAAGTCTGTCTGCCTTTTGATAGGAAGAATTAGGTTGGTATGTAGGAGGAACAGGACCTTTTCTTGGTGGCCGTGCATTTATGGAATTACATCCTTGAAAGAAATATATATGGCCTCTAAGATGAACAAGAACTATCATTCCAGGAGTCAAATGTTCTGTTGAACTCTGAAACATTTAACTTCTCTTCCAAACCATGTTAGTTCAGCTATTTGGGTGGTTTTCCAGAAGCTAATCTTCTGAACCTGAATCTATTTCTAGCATTGGACATGGGCAGGGCCAGAAATAAGGTTCTTTTATCTGGGAACCATGTTTGAAGCCACCCTAGACTTCCAGTTTGGAAGAGTAATGTCTGGAAAACTGCCCAACCCACTCCTAGAACAGCTCGATCAGTGTGATCCAGAGGACCAAATGGAACATTCTCGACTTCTCCAGAACATTCTATTCCTGGATGGTAGGTTTTACATACCCATAATGACTTCCTCCCTTGAGAAAATGTTACAAGAAATATTTTAATACTGTAATTATACACTATTACACATGATCTGGAACTAAATTTTAAGGCAGTATTATGTATGCTGTTAATCTTTGTATCGTGATTGTTCTTATCATTTTTGCCTTCCCAAGAAGTTAGAACTGTGGAAGTAATTAATAAATAATTTAATTAAAAATATTTGTAAAAGCAATTATAACAAGGAAAACGAGAATAAATAGACCATCAAAAATTAGGAGAAGCGCAAATCAACTCAACAGGACAAAGATCTGTCAGAACAAAAAGACTTTTATTGATCAAAAGAATACTATTCAGGATAGGATAGGATAGACTTCTCTAAGAAAAACATTCCAGAGGCTGACTTGAAGAAAAAATTGAAAGGCACAAGTATAGGTTGGGGCAGACCTGACTTGCCCATAGTACATGCAAAGAGGATCTGTGTGTTCTAGTAGATCATCAGCTGAAAATGCCAGAACAGTGTGATGCAACTCTTAAAAAGTAATCCAGAGCCACAGATGCAGGATTTTACATTTCTCCCTGTTAAATTTCATCTTATTCATTTCAGCCTACAGGTCAGATATGTCTGCATTTTTTTAAACGACTCTTTCTCTTCTGAAGTGTTGACCACTTCTGCTAGTTTTATGTATCTGCAGATCTGATAATCTCACTACTTCCTAATCCAAGTCATTAATAAGAATGCTGCAGAGCACAGACCTAGGACAGAACCCTGCCACATTCCACTCCATACTACTCTCCAAGCTGATGAAAACTCTTTATGAGTACTCTTTAGGGTGGTCGTTCAGCCAGTTATGAATCCATCTGTCAGGTGTATTATCTAAGCCCCTATATTTTAACATTTTCATAATGAGGATATCCATAAGAGGTTTCACTGAATGCTTTCCTGAGATCAAAGTACACTATGTCCACAACATTCCCATAATCTACTAAGTTAGTAACTCTGTCAAAGAAGGACATAAGTTTAGTCTGATATGACCTCTTTGTTTCAAACCCATGCTGGCTTGTGAATTGTTGCACTCCTACAGTGCAAAAAGTGCTGTTACACTGTTTGTGAAGTGCTCACAAACATACTGCTCAAACACCTAGCCCAGTATCAGGCTGACAGATCTGTAATTTCGTATGTCGTCCTCTTCTCTGTTTTGCAAATAGGACAGCTTTTGCCTTCCTCTGGTCTTCTGAGATTTTACCAGGTTTTAATCAAAGAATATAACTGGAGGTTCTGAGATCACTGGTTCCTTCAGTACTGTAGGGCATAATTAATCAGACCCAGGAGACTTGAATTCACTGAAATTGGCTTTTTCTTTTTTTTTTACTGTCTCCTCACCTGCCTGAGCTGCTGCACAATGATAGCTAGTGCTTCACTTCCACAAAAGCTTAATAAAATTTCTTAGTCTGAAAAGGTGCTACCAGACTCTTTCTGAGTTTGGGCTACCACAGATTCTCCTCCTACACTATTGTATCTTTAGAAACAGTCATTCAGTGGTACCAATATATTTTGCTGCATTACGTTTTTTCTTCTCAGGTAACTCAGGTTTGGGAATCTTAATTTCTGTTTGTCAGTGAAAATTCCCAGTTTTTCAATCTGCTCATATTGTTATAGGGCCAAACTCTCACATTACTATCAAGCAGGAAATATATATGCAACAGTTTTTAGCATTTCAACCTTTGGGTTGCTATATTTGTGTCATGGCGGCTGTTTATAAAGTTAATTGTGGCTCACCAGGCTTCTTCTCTGTCATTTGCAAAGGCAGTGTGCTTATATGTAGGGAAAACCTTACAGGGAAGACCTCTGCACATTTATTCAGAAGAGAGTCCTACTAGGTCTACAGAATTTAATCACGGGAAAGTCTGCATAGAACTGCAGGCTTAACACCTAGATTTTCTTTGCAAAACCCTTTTCAGTATAAAA